TTTTTTTTTTTTTTTTTCTTTTTTTGTTTGTTTAGGTCTTTCTTTTCATATTTTTGAAACGACCTTAGTTCTTTGCTCTCTTATTCTTTTTCTTTTCTCACTTTGTATTTTCTTTTGCTTTATTTTAAAAAGTAATGAAGACATCATTTTTAAAAACTCTAACTATAAATGATATACACTTAGTGCTTCCATTGCTCTTTGAGTAATTAATAGTATCAGATAACCACAGTCTTCTTCTCCTCTTCTTCTCCTTAATAAGAGAATTGAGTAGAAGAAGGGAAGGAAGAATAAAAAATTGAAACTATTTTATAAACCCAATATACTTTATGTACATGGCCAAACATTACGTGGTTCAACAGTCGCCAACCAACACCTCAGTCTCCATCACCACCATCATCATCACTGCTACCAGTTGCCAAAAAAACAGCAGCAATAACAATGACAACAAAATTAATGATAATAATAATAATAATAATAATAATAATAATAACACCGCTAAGATCTATAATCTATTCGTTACCATAAATACTGCTGCATAAACAGAACTGGGGACAGAGTAAAGAGAAAAAAATTTATTTTAGAAGAAAAAAAAAGAATAATAAGAAAATGAAATATTTCTTTTTATTCAGCAAACTTATTTATAGAATCGCCAAGCATTTTTGCTATTAACTCGACACCACATCCACCATCGCTAGTAACGACAACGGCTAACACCACCGCTACCAGTACTAATACACCCACCATCAACATCAACAACAACAATGGTAGTATCGGTAACAGTCAAAGTGTTGTTAATTCATCGCGAACCGTCGAGGAATTGCGGCAACGTATCGACCAAAACGGTTACGTATCACAAACCAGTCTAGCGTTTAAACCAATTCATTCCTGAACTTTGTCAGAAACCTCCTTCTCTCTTTTCTCCTCCCGCCCTCTCCCCTATCCTCTCCCTCGTCCTGCCTATTCCTTTCACCTCTCTCCTTCCTTTTTATCTCATTTATTCACTCAAAAAATTCTCTTTTTGTCATTTTTATTGCAGTCATCGTTGTCGTCGTCGTCGTTGTCATCAACGTCGTCATAACTGTTATTTCTGTTAACTTCAAA